GTCTATTTCCAGCATGGCCTACAGACTCCATATTCGGCAGCAGGCCAAAATCCTCCCTCACCATGCCCCACAATTTCCAGTAGTTTGGCACTCTGGATGGTTAGTGATAGTATTTGACACCTTGGGCCTAGAGTAAGGTAATGGAGTTTATAACAATAACCAAGATTTGTGATCTGTTTAAATACCTAAAAAATTTGGCCTCTGTATGGGGGTAAGAGAACTTGAATGGAACTTATCAACGTTGCGAACATCACAATTTTGATACTCAAAAGTTATGGAGTGGACTCTTGTGCCACTAGTAAGACTTAATATTTAAATAGAATTTCTGTTCAAATCTTTGTGCCTTCGCATAAGTACTGTAGGTAAACGGTAGCTAAGAAATAGATAATTCTGAGGTTAACTTGGTACATTTTATATAGTTCCTCAGTGGTAGGGTGGGGGCACTTGCAAGAGCACACATTTCACCCAGAAGTAAGAATACGTGCTGTGTTTTTAGTGCAAAATGGACTTTTATAAAGCAATGGTTCTCAGCCATTTTTGCACCAGGACCCATTTGAAAACATCAGTGGCCAGTCTTGACTTACTGCCTGTCACTCCCGACTCACTGCCCCCAGTGTGTGGGCTGTGGGGTGGGTGTGTTGGGCAGGGTAGGGTGTGTGGGGGGCATGGGGAACCCCAAGCAGCTCCTTGCAGGCTGCAGAGGAATAGCCACAGTTTCCTATATTTTTCTCCTTTAAAGGAGAATCCATTTTTAAAGTTTGTCTGCGAGCCTTTCATATATTCGTGGGACTCACATTTGGGTCATGACCCATGAGCTGAGAAACACTGCTATAAAGCATGCTCTTTTGTTATCTATCAACAAGTCATGCAGTAGACCTCAGGTTCTTCAGCTTTAGGTTCCTGATTCCACCCCCCCCATGGTTTGCTGGGGAATATAAAGAGCCACAGCAAACAGCTACATGGGATGGCAGAAGCACCCCAGCTGTTTACTTCACTTTTGTTTCCTCTTCCCCTCCCTCCTCCCCTTACCTCCCATACCAGGCTAGGATCATGCTCTCAGCTTCCTTGCAGGACCAGATCTAGACTCAGTTTGGTATCACGGGTGTCTGAGCCCCTGTGTTGCCCTAGGAACGGGGTGGTTAATGCAGCTGTTTTTTGCCCTGCTGCTGCTGAAATGAGTCCCCAGTGGCATTTTATACCCCAGCCCCTCCCCTCAAGTCCAGAAATTTGGTGTAGGAGCAGTGGCATTGACACTGCCAGTGCTTCCCTGCCACCAAATTTCTGGACCTGTGCATCTGGATTGGTCCTGACTGGCCTGGCCTTGTGTATAGGAATCAGACCCCAGCTGTTCCCACCCCATGCACCTGGGTTGAGCTCATGGACTGACCTGGTGCCATTCTTCTGGCCTGCAGGGTTGAAAGAGGGCGTCGTTAGCATAGAGGAGTACTTTCCCACAGCTGTCTTTATTTGCCATAGCTAGAACCAGTTTATGAACAGGCCCGTAATATTCCCTATTTGAAGATGGGGCAAGAAGCAAAAAGCCAGGTATACCGTTTTATACTAATAGTCAGTGTATCTTATTGGTCATTTTGGCTGCCATACCCACACTGCTATTAGAAGATTTTTTTCCAAATCACATTGGCCTTTGTTTTGAGATTCTCACTATTGATTCTGAAATTTTGTACATTTTCTACAGGTGGGAACTTTTTCAATAGCTAGTGAAGAAGTCCTGAAGAACAGAGCTATTAAGAAAGCAAAGCGCCGAAATGTTGCGTCTGAGGTAACTAAGCCACTTAAGACTGAGAAATGTGACATGTCCTTCATAGTGATTCCTCATTGTAGATTCTTTCTGTGATTTTGCAAGTGTAGGAAGTTTATGTAAAGGTCCTGTAGCAATGGTGGAAATTGAATTACAACAATATCTGCACTGTCCGTTTCCAGTCTAAGGGGATGATGGTTCTAAAATTCTTTGAACAATTTATCTTCTAAAGGTGGAGGTGTGCAAGCAGACATCTGTAAAGGTTCAGTTTCATCTTCATAGAAAAAGTTTTAGAACTTTCTGATTATAGGTGGGGTTGGTAGCCAACTTAATGAAGTTGGCCCAACACTTTCCTGGTTTCATCTGTGTACATATTTGCCAATGTTTAGATCTGGTCTGAAAGTCTCTATCATGGATGTCTTTTTTGTGCTTTTGTTTGTTTTGGTTTATTTGTTTTTAAAACTTAGCCAAAGTGATTTTGTTCTTCCTAAGAAGGCATCTACGGGGACAAAAATTAGAGATCTTTCCTTAGTTAACATAGAATCGTACAAATTAGGGTTGGAAGGGACCTCAGGAGGTCATCTAATCCAACCCCCTGCTCAAAGCAGGAACATCCCAGCCAGGGCTTTGTCCAGTTGGGTCTTAAAAACCTTCAAGGATAGAGATTCTGCCTCTGTATAACCTGTTCCAGTGCTTTACTACCTACCTAGTGAGAGAGTTTCCTTCTGTAGAACCTAAGCTTCCCCTGCTGCCAACTTGAGACTTGCTCCTTGTTCTATCATCTGCCACTACTGAGAACAGTCCAACTCCACAAGTTGGACTGAGCAAAGTGGAACAGGAGCCAAAGAAGAGGAGACAAGGAGACAGGCTTCCAGTCTTCTTCCCTGGATTCCTCCTCTACTTGGGCAGATCAGACAAGAAGTCAGGATGAGGAAAACAGAGCCTAGCAGCAAACTTGAAGGAACTGGACAAGACACCACTCCCTTCTAGGGTTTGGAAGGGGACCCAGTATGGAGTTTTGCCATCCCTCTGCTCATGAATTTTAAGTATATTAATATATTCTATGTAGTAGAGTCTGTTTCAGCTGATTTTTTAAGCTAGAAAGTTCCACACACACACACACGGGGAACTAATATTAATGCTGTAAAACCAAAATACTTGAAACCTGTGAATGCAAAAAAGTTCTCTTCTAAAACTACCATAATACATTTAATTCACAGGTTGCATACTTCTTTATTAGACACCCTGTCTCATTTGGTTTGTCTCAGAGTAAGCTTTGAGTACTAAGCAGTAAAGAAGACAGACCTATACATGGAATGAGGATAACAAAAATTCTGCATAATTGCTCACTAGGCAAGCATTGTCAGTTCTCTTGTCTTGAATGATGCAGGTGTTCTGTAGGAAGATGATTATATGTGATTATACATTAAAGACTGGCAATGCATATGCAAATATGAACAAATTTAACATTACACAGGAAACTTGTGTGCAATTGAACTCGGGTTTTGTCTCCAGTTTCAGCTTTTTGGGGAAGATATCTTGAGGTTGGGAGGTAAAAGCACTTTAAATGACATCTGTTGAAAAACTGCTCCGCTCATTTAATCTCTCAAAACTTTTAAACTCATTATTGCTTTTCTACATGCAAAAAAAATATATCAATCATGCCTGTCTTCCTAGAAAAGTAATACCATGAATCTGAACTGTTCTGTAAGTCATAACTACCAGTAGCCACATGCAAATGGCCTTTACAGTTTGAAAAGTAGTGCACAAGTAGAATAGGTATCTTTACTCTGCACTCAGAAGCTGCTTGTGATTGTCAACTTACACTCCAGTCTGTACAAACTTTCACTTTCCCAGGAGAAACTCCCTTGAGAGTGATCTAACTCTGATTGTTCCCAGGTTATTTTTCTTTTGGAGAGCCCATTTTTACCCTGGGGGAGAGAGCCTGAACATCTTATACACTGGTGACTTCTCCTGGGAGAGCAGTGACTGTTTCGGGAGAAATTAAATGTCTGTACAAGGCCTTAGTTTAGATAAAATTCAAAAGAACTATATCTTCAATTTTTATTGATAGAAAAGAAACCTGCTTACTATTTTGTATAAATTTTTAAAAGCAAACAACTAAGGCAGAGTGCTGTAGCTCAGTAAGCTCAAGAGTTTTATAGTAAAGCAGTTCTCAGAAATTGTAAATAGTGTAATATGGTCTAAAGCTAACTTTTGTAATTTCCGTGGGGCTTTCTAAATATGCTTCTTGCACTGATGCCAACCATATAAAGAAGTCACTTAAACAGTAGAAGGAACAGCAAAGTTTATAAGGGAACAAGGAAATATAGAGGGTTTTTTCTGAGCTGTCTTCTACCGTAGTTTAATTTTTTTTTGTCTTCTGACTTCTGTTACCATGAAGAATCCTGTCATCTGGCTATAAAACAATTAAAAATTTTAAGCAAACTATAGGTGTTTTCTTCTCATTAAATATTAAGCTATCATTAAAGTAACTTAAACTGCTGGAACTGGTTTCTTCAGATACCCTTGCCTTAGTTGTAAATTCTTTTGATTTAAAAAAAAAAAAAAAAGGGATGGATTAGTTCTTGAGATTCAGAAGGCTTGTAACCAAATAACACCTACTGCTTGCTGTGTGTACACTCTGTAATAGTATTTCAGCTGGCCTAGGAAAACTAAAGTAATAATAGGAAAATTGTTTTAACACCTGCTAAATCTGATCTCTTTTGCTACCTAGGAGGTGCTGGTTCTGAAGATTAAATAGTTTGTTCGGTAGTGACCTGTTCCTATTGCTTTGAATTTGGATGGATTTGTATTGGTGCTTTGGTTGCTGTAGTGACATACTTGTATTAATAAACCCTGAGTAGACATTTTGGGTTTAGTTTAAAACTTTTTTATTACCCCCCCCCCCCTTTAACTAGGCATTATGGCATGGAAAATGTCTTAAAAACAAGTTGTTTCTCTCCCTCATTCAACTGTATTCTTTCTTTCCCTTTAGAAGATAACCTTCAGTTTTCTGTTATTTACAAGTATTTTTGCCCCTTTAGTTGACGCACATTGTTGAAGGGAAAAGTACCTGTTTTTGAAGTTTAATATTGTATTTTCTTGAATATAAGACAAGGTTCCTTCTCTCTCCTGCTCCTCAATCCAGCATGGGAAAAATGCCCCTTGTCTTGTATTTGCATACCAGAACAGTGCAGGCCGAGGGGTCACCATGGCTCGAAATGCTGGTGACTGCTGGGACCCTGCCCAGTGAACTATATGATAAATCATGAGCCTCTTGTTTTTGGACTATTATCAGGTGATGGAATTTGGAATGGATTTGGCTAATTAGGGCTGACACACAAAATTTAATAATAAATTTTAAAAGTTTGTACTATATATAAGGAGGTACAAAAGTGGTGCCCAAAAGTTTTTAATAGAGTGCCTGTGCTGCAACTTGCAGAACTGTGCAAGAAGTGAAAGTGCATGACTTCTACATAAACTAAGTCTGTAATAATTGCATATATGTAAATTACTATATATGTTTATCTCGAAGTCAGTGTTTTGGACTTCTTGTGTTTCCAAGAATACAAGCCACTACATACATCTTAATTTCCTCTCTGCTCCCATAGTTGTGATGTTTTCCATTTCCATTGATTTCTGTTTCTTCACCAGCCTTAAGTGTCTGGGAAACATCACTAAATGGAACCCCAGACAGTTTACCCAGGATCCCTCTGTCAGCTTCTTTCTCAGCCTGTTGCATATTAGTGTGGCCCTGTGCTCCATGAGGTGGAGCTGGACCAGGTTGCTCCGTGCCTCATCTGCATATACATTTTTTAAGGATCCCAGGACTCATGACAAGAACACCCGATTCTAGTCATGAGTGGGTGGTGCCAGAAGTAAACACACATACTCAGCACTGCTGAGGTGTGGGGTCACCATGGCTTGAAATGGTGTTGGCTCCCAATAAACTATATGGTAAATCACGAGCCTTTGTCTTTGGACTAATATCATGCATAGTTTGTCTTCTATACAAGTAGGATGAAAGTGCTGCCTGAAAATGTATTTATGAAGTACCTGAGCTAAAACTTGCAGTAGTTTTTTTGTTTGTTTGGGGGTTGTTTTTTTGGTGGGGGGAGGGGCCAGAGGAAAAACACATCAATTCTGGGTGCATAAAGTCTGTGGGTAACCATAGTACAAAGTCAATGTTTTTAGATTTGCCTGTCACTTCTGTGTGCTCAGAGAAAGCAGGATCTGACACTAAGTAGGGGAGGGGCTGCAGGAGTGAAGGAGGTATGTGGAGGGGGGGGGGGGGGGGGAGGGGGAGAGGGGTGTGGTGGGGGGGGGGGGGGGTGGAGAGGACAAGGGGGCTACCTGGCTCCCCACTGTCCCAAATTTGTTTCCCCTGCTATAGCAGTGGGAGGGGAACAAATTTGAGGCAAGCCTCCAATAATTATTTTTTGTGCCTGGAAAATAACAACCTCATCACCAGAAGCAAACTTCTTCAAGCCCAGAACACACCAAAAGGATCCAGACCGTGCCATGATAAGAAATGCAAAACCTGCCAACACATCTCCACCCCCCCCACTATTACTACACCCCACAACAGAGCCATCAGCATCCCAGGATCTTACAGCTGCACCTCCAGAAATGTAATACACCTCATCCAATGCATCAAATGCCCTGATGGAAAATATGTAGGAGAGACCAAACAACAACTGCGCACCAGAATGACAGAAAGACAGAAATACCCAATTACCGGGGGCATATTTCTCGCTGGAGGGCCACACTCTCTCCAATCTCTGTCCTGATCCTCAAGGCAAACTTACACAGCACTTCCCAGAGACAAGCCTATGAGCTCCATTTCATCAACCTCCTGGATACTAGAGTTCATGGACTAAACATAGATTGGATTTTTGATACATTATAATCTGCCTGGCAACTGACTCCCCAGCCCAGCCCAGCCCCTGGCTTGTTTACTTTTCATTCCATTCAGGAAGAGCACACACCAACTGCTGAAACTTCCTTAGCCTGACGAAGGGTTTTTGAACCCGAAAGCTTGCTTAATAACTCTTCTCCAACTATTTGGGTTGGTCTAATAAAAGATATCAAATTCACCCAAGGAACCTTGTCTGGAAAATAACAACACATTTATAAATTTTCTATAAATAGAAAGTAATTATTGGGGTTTGTCTTTTTCAGGGTCATTTTATATTTGAGTAAATACGGTCACTTTTTCTGCTTTCTAGAATTTTCCTTATAATATAAAGGAAGAGAGAACAAATGTCCACTCAGTTGGTACCTTCTCATATTAATCCCTCTCCAACTGGGCAGAGGGACAGATACAAGTTCATTTTTTTTTACTTTAATTTGAATAGTTCCCCAAACAGCTCGACTAAAATAATTAAATAGTGATCAAGTGAAAACCAGAATAAATTTTGGATGCAAGAAGACTTCAAACTTTATATGAAAAATAATATAGTTTATGGTTTACTGGCATCAACATTGCTGAATGCTTCCTTTTATAGAAGCAAAACACATTCTTGCTATAAGATTAAACTGTTCTAACGGTATTAGTACAATATTTAGTTAGTAATGACTTTCTGCTTTCTATAATGCTCTAGAAGTAGAGCCTTTCCTACTTGTTTATTGCTGGCCTTATACGTTTAGTTCTGAAATTTTATTTTCATATTTTTGAAGTAAGCATGAGTTTCTTCTGTTCCTCTCAAGATGTTGATTGTGGTAGCACAGGCATTTGTTGAGTATAGTTTTCCAAAATTTATATGTGAACTTATTCTATTTGTGTTTTGATTTCAGGTGAACAGTATTAAATATTTGATATTAAGAATGGTTTAGAATGTTTATCCAATATAGTGAACTAAAAACAGTGATCCACTGCTTTCTCTCATAAGGATTCAGTACTGTGTGAGGTACTTATGACAGCAGCGTTGTTTTAAGAACTTGTGTTTGACCAATATTAAGTATGTGGGGGATTTGATTTGATTTTTTGGAAGAGGTATGTGTAACTGCCTATATTTCTGGCTTTTTTTCCCAGTCTGAAAGTGGAGGAGCTTTTAAAGGGTTTAAAGGTTTCATTATACCTTCTGCAAAAGGAGGAGGTGGCTTCACTGGATTCGGTAATGGTACAGGATTAAAGCCTTTAGAAGGGCTATCTAATGGAAGCAGTGGCATTTCTAATACTCCACCTTTCATCAGTTTAAAGACAACTTCTGAAACCCAGTCTGTATTTGGTAAGTTGACTTATAAGTTTAACTGTGCTGAGTTTTAGAGTTAGTGACAATTTTATTCTTGAATTTGAGTTAATGTGATGGTTCAAACTTTGTATAAATATAAATTCATATTTTTTGTTTACCCTCTTGGTTTTGGGGAGGGAGATTGGAATATGAAACTTCCTTTCCATCCTCCCTACTCCCCCACCCCCTTTCTGTGGTTTCTTACAAAAACTAGAAAGGTAGGCAGGAAAGGCATTAAATATTTAATTTGATTCCCCAAAATTGGATTTTTGGAAACAAGTTCATATTCAGATTCAGTAGTAGTGTAAGTTGAAGGTGGTGGGGTCTTTTGATTTATATTATGTTAACGTTGTGAGCCACTGCTGATGGGAAACAGCATCTTTTTAAAATCAGACTATCATTCGCAAAACCAGCAAAAGAATAAAATTTGATAGGTATGTCTGCCCTTCTAATAAGGTCAATTGCAAACCACATGCCAGTCATGTTAGGGTCAACAAGAAAATGAATAGGCATACCCATTAAGTGTATACAATTGAAAGAGTTACACACACAAAATTCATTTTATTGAAATGTAGATCAGATAATCCTTAACTACTTGAATAAAGAGATTTAACTTGTGACTTTCAAATCTCAGGAATTCTTTCATACACTTTGGCACACGTGAAATAGTTTACTGATCACTTTAAACTCAAACTGAACATGTTAAGTTTTTGCTAAAGTTGTCAGGCAGCTTATTTCCTTTAGTGTAGTAGAGGAATTGTTCCTGGGGTTTTTCATTCTGGTTTTTCTTTTTGTTTTTTCTCCACAACTAATGCAATAACTTAGGCTTTTCAAGATCGTATTAAAATTGTGATTGACAACTTTATTCCCTATTTTTCTACTTAAAATTGCTTGCAACAACTTCTGAAAGAATATTCTTCATGAAGTAAGAATAATCTGAAAATGTTCTGTACTTCTGTGTTGTTGGGGTTTTTTCAACTCCTAACTAATTAAAGGATAGGTGGGAACCCATAAAACTATTGTGCAAGTTAAAAATGCTTTTAGCCCCAGTACAGCTACTTCTCACTTAACTTTGTTTTGCTTAAAGTTGCATTTTTCAAGAACAACTGCCATGTCAAGCAAATCCAGTTATATCACAGTAGTTACCTACTAGCAGGCAGCAAACAAACATTATAACCGAACATTGCGCAACTTTAAATGAGTATGTTCTCTAGTAGATCAGCGACATCATAATGAAACAACATGAACCGGGATGATGTTAAGTGAGGAGTACCTGCATTTAAAATTAATAACTTCACATTTTCATAATATGTTGGAGCCTTATTTTATTATTACTAAAATTATAGTATGCATCTACTTAGAGTGAAATTCATTTTAGTAGTTAGGTGTAATACAAAACTTGCATTTTAATAACTTTAGGGGAGTGCAGTATGAAACATGCCTCAGTTTAGATTCAGATCTCTCAAACTTTGACACAAATTAATAATGAAAATAGAAAAAGCTTTATTTAATTCACTTTCCTGCAGCTGGTGTGAACATGGACTAGACAGATAAACCTCTTTGGTAGCGTAACTTGAATCTGATTTAGAATTTCTGGCGGGAGGGAGAGAATAAAGCTATCCTGGTGTAGGTGTTGTGTGTCTAGCTGTCCATGGTAACTATTTACTTTTAGGCATGTTGCTTGCTCTATCGTCACTTAGTGGAATGTTGTAAAGCAGAGGTTCTCAAACTGGTCCGCAGGAAGGTTGTGGAAAAATTGAGAATATTTGTACTTGGCCCTGCACTTGATTTATTTGTTCTGATGATGGAGATTAAGTGGTCTGCCAAGACCATCAGTGATTTTCAAGTGGTCCATGGAAAAAAAAAAAAAAAGAGTTTGAGAACCACTGTTGTAAAGGATTGAGATACTAGTTAAGAGACCTCATGGGGGCTTAATTGAGCAAGAATACAGATTATTTGATATATAAAATTTGAAAGGAAAATAAATCTTTTTTTAATGCACTGCCCTTTTGGAGAATAGGAGGGCTCAAATGTTACAGTTGATTTTTATTTTTTTTCCCCTCTTTATTTTATTTTTTTTGTAACAGGGTCTGCTACATCCAATGGTCCAACTGCTACTGGCTTGGTTGAGAAAAAGACTGCAAGTCCAAAAGCTAATGGTGGCAGTCAGCAGTCATCTGGTTACCCTCAGAGTAAAATGTGTAGCTGTAGTCTTTATTATGAACACTTAACTGCACTAAACTGTTCTGTGCGTGACTGGATAGTAAAGCATGTGAACACAAATCCACTGTGTGATCTGACACCTATCTTTAGAGACTATGAGAAATATTTAGCAAACATTGAACAACAGTATGGAAGCAGTAGTGATAGCGGTTCTGAGAATGAAAATAACAAGACAACACCTGGAACTCAGTCTGTTTCTACATTTGGGACTTTAAAACTTCAGCAAGGATCAACATTTTTGTTTAATAGCAACAAAACTGAGGATACATCAGACAAGAAAATGGAATCTGTGTCAGAAAAGAACAGAGAACCAACACCAGGAGTTGCATCAACGGTCTCATTTAATTTTGGCAAGAAAGTTGACAGTTCTGTTTTGGGTTCCCTTGGTTCTGGAACGCTAAGTAGTTTCTCCTTCTCCCCTGGGAATTCCCGTCTATTTGGAAAAGATACAAGTCAGACAAAGTCTGTTACTCCACTTCCAACCAATGTATTGGAGGCTCAGACAGAAAGTGGTAGTAGTGATGATAAAGGTAAATTCTGATTTCTTTTCCTTTCAAAAAATAAAATTTTAAATTGTGAGCACATAACATGATGCTTCATTATTTGTTGCGGGTTAAACAGGCCATTTATCACTGCCCGCTTATTTTTCACTACTGAACATTTGCCCCACATGACCAAGAAATTCAAGTTTAGTGATATTGCTTATTAGCTCATCAATGACAGACTACTGATTAGACATTTTAATTTTTTTTTTAATTTATGCGCTGAATTTTTTTCCCCTTGATGACTTGTACTTTATTTGCATAGGAGACTGCTGAAATCTTGATGTTCTGCCAAACTTGCAATTTGAGCATCATGACGACTTGTCATGTCATGCTGTGTGTGTGTTTGTGGGGGGAAAGCGGGGACAGCAACTTTTTTAAAGTAATATGGGAAATACGATCATTTTAAATATTATAGTTCAATGTAATGATGAATATAAAAGATAGTAATGTAACTTTATCTGTACTAGATATGTATGTATCTAATTTAAGATGTATGTAACAGGAGGGACATCAGGGTCACCGTGCTCCCCCCTGTTGCCTCCTTTACCATTCCAAGCTGCTGTCTTGCACCCTCTGATTCTCGCCCAACACATCTTTGATTTTATATATCTTATAGGGAGGCTACCTTCTGTCCTCTTGGCCACAGTTCTCCTGTCACAAGTGTACCATGCACCCATGCCTTATGGGCTATGCGTGGCTCCTGCCACCCCAATATTTTGCCCCAAGCCTCGCAGATGTAATGGACGTTGTTCTGTCCCTCTCTCCGTCTTCACGCCCTCTCTGGCACTCAGGCTCTCTGCAGTCCCGTCTCTCTCGCGCTCTCCCTTCCCAGTAACGCCGCCCTTCTCTCAGGGTCTTCTCAACTGCCCCTCCCTGGGGCTGGGGTCTGTGTACCCCAAATGCTGCGCCATCACTGGCACTGGGGTCCCCACTCTACTGTGAGTCCCTACGAGGCATCCTCCAACCCCTAATAGCCTCACCCAAACCACCGGTGTAACAAATAGTAACATAAACACAAGCCCCTGGGCTACAACACAAATAAACCTCCAGCTATAACTATGCTCAAGCCTACCAGGGTTCTCTATGCCACCGCAGGGACCAATGCTGCTCTGGCATTCAGGCTTCTCGTCTCTTTCTGGCAGGGAGCTTCTTCTGCCTTGGCTGCTGGTAGGGAACTGCCTCTTGCCTGTGGTTTATATAGGAGCCAGGCCCTGCCCCTTCTTGTTAGCTAGCTAGGCAGCTGTGAGCCATTGGTGTGAGCAGGTGTGAGCCCTTTAGTTGCCTCAGCAACCAGCACCTGCAGGGGTTATCCCAGTTCTCCAAGTAGCAGGCACCCTAGTGCCCTGCTACAGTATATTTGAAATTCTGGGTTGCAAACCCATGGTAATTGGTTCTTATATTTAAAACTAGTTAGCCCAGAGCTTCAAGTACACCTTAAATTAGATAAACATGTTGTAATACAGATAAAGTTGCATTGTCCAGTATAATCTATAAATTACAATATAGTGATAAATATAACTTTTAGCAATTATTATATACTTCTCACACTGGGAGGGGGGGAGGGAGGGGAGTGCTGTTACCAAAGCAGCACTGATAATCACAGTATCCTTAGTCCTCATTTTAGCAATGTAGATCTAATAAAAGGATCTTATTTTTATACTACTATAATGAGGCATAAAGATGTGATTTTTTTTCTGTATGTGTGTTCCTTTTTACAGCACTTATTTTAAAATAAGTGCAATACTAATTCAGTTGTTTATGAGAAACTCATGTTTTCTTTCAAGTTGGTTTCCTATTTTTCCTTGCTCTGCCTCAGAAGGTTGTAAGTTATTAGTACTGCAGGAATTTAGACATGCTGACTGCTTACTCCTGTTGACAACATTTTAATTCTGAAGTTGAATTTAATAGTAAGAACTAGCTTTCCACATAAGCAGAGGTGGATATGATGCTTATGTGAAGCTTGTTCCTGGTTTTGAAGCCCTTCCAGGGAAGCCTTTTTAAATTTCTTCCACACCTAACGCAGGGAGGTGCGTAGAAAGTCCGGTTTCTGTAGAATTGGGACTTATTCAGAAGGATAAGAGACTGTTTTGTGAGCCATATGCAAGCTGAAATGTTAGTTTTCCTGACCACGCAGGCAGCTTCAGCTTCACTGCAGTTCTCAGTAATTTTGTCACAAAGCTGCAACATGAAATTGATAAGGCTGACCAGTTCCATTGCTGTTTGTCATGAGCATTTAAGGAACTGTGGAGTTTTGAAAACTCAGTTTTTCTCTTAGTACTGTGTATTGTATTGTGAGTTAGGTGTAGCTTCTAAATAGAAATCCTAGTGAGTGGAGAGTTGGGGAAAGACCAAGCTCTTAACTTGTTGTCATTTTAGTGTAGATTATTCACATAGTTTTAATTCAGGGGTCTAGTAATACCTGTCTAGTAGGCATCTAATAAACTTCAGGCTCTGTAGAACACTTTTAGAGAGAACCTGCCCAAAACTCCCATTGCTTCTCTACCCAAAAACATCTGAGCTTTTAAAAATAATTTAAAAAATCTAAAATTTTAAAATCTGAACTGGCAAAACATAGATGAAAATAACATTTAATATGGGCTGGAGTGGTTAACAGAACACTATTTTTACTATCCAAGAAATATCCTTGTAGCTGCCAAAACTTTGAGTTCATTTACATTTTCTGGCAGTGTGTGGGGACTATATCTGGGCACTTTAAATCAAAGATGATATTTAAGAAAAACACTTTCTTCAGCACTTTCTTCATACTACTTATGAAGTGGTGTATGAAAAATATAATTAATCCACGGAATATTGTGATAAACCGGGGTGGTTTATATACTTGGAGCACCATTAGCTCCACTTCTTTCCACTGTTTTGTTGCTCACCCATTGAGAACAGATTAATATTTCTTTTCCATGGACTAACTTCTTAAACAGTTACTATAGGTTGAAAAAGAATATGTCAGCTTAACCACAAAAACTTAGAGGTATCTCACCCTAGACTTCTCACTAAAACATAGCACTAATCTCTGAGTAGTGTCAGAGCTTCCTGCAAGCAGCTTCTAGCAGCCCCAGTTACCCCAGCTTCGGCCAGCTGAGGGACTAGATAGGGTGGATTTGATTTAAATCAAATAGATTTAAATTACTGGTCTGGAAGCCTTGATTTAATCATTTTCTACAAAAAGTACATTCTTGTTGTTTGATATAACTTTAATAAATATTATTCAAAACTCAGAGATAGATGTAGGTTTCATTTTAGAAGGTACACACACACTATACATTTTAAAGCAGTGATTTATTTTGATATTTTTTCAAATTAATTTTGCAGCTACATCAGAAAACTGAATTATGATTTTCTTATTTTATTTACCAAAGCTAACTAAAGCAGATACTTGTGAAGTCATTGGGAGGTGAACTGTCTCTAATTCCCTAGATTAATCATGGATATTTGGGATATTTTGGCCACACTGTATTAGGAGGAAAATAACTATCACTAAAAAACAGACATTTAGATTTTTTTTTATTTAACTAAAGCAACAAGGAATATTTTGGATATTTTTTATTCAACAGCAAACGTGTATATATTTTAACAAAACAAAAATATATTTTTTTGAATTTTTTACTATTTTAGTTATAAATGTGAAATGTGTTTTGAACAAAAATTAAATAAATTAATTTCAGCCAGGTCAGCATAAGAAACTTGAAATACTGGGCTATGCAGCAAACTCGGTCTTCACCTTACTCTTCCGGTTTGTTTATAGACTGGATAAGAAAGACAAGCTTTCCTGTGTTTTCAGTTCCCAAGGGATTTCTTAATTTAGAATGAATTAGTCCAAAGGAAGAAAATATTCTTTCTGTACCTACAGAAGAAGCTACTGCTGTTAAAAGCTGGATTATCACTTAAATTCTCTCTGGTAGATCTAGGTCTTAAGTGACTTCCTTTAAACTTTCATCAGCAAACATTTTATTTCTTGAATGGTTCACCCGTAGCCCTGAAATTTATTATAGTTGGTATTATGGAGGGGTGATTGGTGGATGCCCATGTTAGCCAACTCCTCTTCAGCAGTTAAGGATTGACCCTGGTACCGAGCATTGAGAATATTGATAAGAAAATGAGCTGGAGATAGTGCTAGATCCAGCTGGTTCTGTCCTGAGAGAGCAACAGAGTTAAATTACAGGCAGCTCAGGGCAGATTCATATTTTCTAAGTTTTTTAGGGGCCCCGCGGGCTGGATAGAATGGCCTGGCGGGCCGCATTTTGCCCACCCCTGATTTAACCTCTTGAAACTTTGCACTTTTAGAGAGAGATGTAAGGGCTTGACTCTGTGACAAACTCTGTGACAGTAGGGCTGAAGTGGGTAGATAATCAGGTCTGTTGCCTCCATATACTACTATTAAGAAGAATGTTCTCTCTGAAGAGAAAAATCCACAGTTTGAAAACTGAAACTAAGTATCGCAGAGATGTTTAATGGGATCTTTTAGACTGAGCACTGAATCCCATTGGGTAAAGTAGTTTTCTGTAATCTTTACTAACCTGTAGAAGAGCCTCTGGGAACCCCTTAAGATTCGGCCCCTAATATAGCCCATGGCCTATTGTGACCTATTGATAAAAACTTTTTTTCTAAAAAGGTTACATGAATATAGTGGCTCAAATGTATATAATTACAAGTAATAATCCCTATTCCATGATGGTATCTTTGAATGTCAACACATATTAAATTAGAATTACCTTTTATATAGGTTTATTTTTAAAAAATCTTAACCAAAAAAACCCAAATAATACAATTAAATTAAAAAAAAATGGTTTTTTAATTTTTTTTTTTTTTTTTTTTTTTTTTTTTTTTTTTTTTTTTATCGAATTTTATCCACCCTGGGACTACACCACCCATAGCCTAGGTTCACTAGACAAAGTACTCTCTCTGTCAAGGCATCTCGTGATTACCTAACCATATGTACTCTCTTGTATTCTTCTATTCAGTTCTTGGAATATATATTAGGCAAATAACTTCTTGTCTCCGAAGTTCTGACAGGCCAAGTGTTGTTCTGGATTTACAGTTATATATATATATAGTTATGTGTATTATATATTTGTATGTGTATATATGTATATACAGGCAATCCTTAGACTTATGACACAATTGGTTCCTGGAAACCGCACCTTAAGTCGAAACGTAACTCGGAACCAATTTTCTCATAAGAAACAATGTTATAAATGGGGGATTGGTTCCTGAACCAAGGCCCAGTACCCTGTTTTCACCAAAAATACCCCAGAATTTTGTACTCAGTCAATTATAGATGAGTAATATAGCTACATTAATGTATTTGTATTGTAAATAGCAATCCTGTTGATTTGGAAGGACTTCTTTGAGGTGACTTTGGACTTCTTGAAGGGCTCTTGGCTAGAGTCTTCTCAGGAGTCTTGGCTGCAGGTTTTTCTGGAGTCTTGTCTGCTTTCTTAAAGAAAGCGTCCAAGTAAGTTTGGACAGATGTTCTGCAGAGAGATGAGCAATGCAGCCAACTTGTTCGCTGGCGTTGTGTCGCATCGGATCAAGCGTTGTAAAGTGGTAACTGACATCATGAAGTTGAAACGGGGTGTCTGTTTATAAATATTGTAAGTGTGAAAAGTAACTCGAAACGTTGCAAGTTGAGGACTGCCTGTATATATTTCAGACCTATAGAATGCTAATCCAATATCCTTAGCAATCAATTATTTGAGAGAGATTTTTTTCTTGCTCTATTCAAGAGTAAAAAATATCACTCTCTGACGCTTTCCATTTAATATTCTCTTGTGCAGTGGTTTTCAACCTGTGGTCTGCGTACTCCTGGGAATCTGCAGACTGTCTAAGGGTTCCACAGAAGTAGACTATGATCAGTCAAAAAGTGTGTGGATACCCACACTTACAATTCATTTGAAACTTTTTAGGGGTCTGCAAATGAAAACAAAGGTTGAAAACCATTGCTCTAATGCAAAGGAATATAACAATAGCATTAGAAAAAGACCAAATACTATATCAATCTAATTTGGAAAAATATCTGTATATATAACACACAGTGAACCCTCAAATCGGTCTTTCATGAGAGGTGTTTGTGACTGTTAAATATTTATTTAAGGAGGAGATGAAGATGAGGAGGAACCACCCAAAGTAGTTGTTAATGAAATAAAGGAAGATGATGCTTTCTACTCTAAGAAGTAAGTGATCACTTTTTAATGTTTAATTTTAGCATGTTGCTTATTTTCTGTGTTGTCCTAAATTGAGAAATCTAAATAGAAATTTGCAGATGTTTATACTCTATTTCAACAACCTCACCTTCTTGAGGTACTGAATTTATATGAGCCAAAATTGAACAATGGAGACCAATACGTCATCAGATTTTTGGGATTTTCCTGCAAGATTACTTTTGCAGTTTTGCACATCTCACTCAGGAGTGCCAGCTTCAGTTTAAGCCAGGGTATTTATTCCTATCTCATTGAAATAGTTTGCAGTGCTTAAAACATTTTTCATTTAACTTTAGCTTTTCATTGTTAATATTGAAGCAATATTGTTTTGACATGAGACTGTTCTTAAACTAAAACCATTAAAAGCGCAGTTGTAGTATTTGAGGCTCCAAAGGGTATAGACAGGCATTCCGTTGCCGTCCTAAGAACTTCCTAATGCTACAAATATCCTGGAAAAAGACATCTGTATATTCCAGCTCCCTGCTTGGAGTGCACAAAGTTGCCTCAAAGGTGTACTCTGCAGCCACACTTCTTGCTGCTTAAGCCAGAGGCAGGGGACAGCTACATGGTCAGCTGAGCCATTTGCAAGGGGACAGCAGTGCTGGGTGTCCTGACCATCTATCCAGCAGCAAGCTATCAGGGAGGAGCCTTTGGAGGGAGGTGGTAGAGAATAAAGTACTGGAAAACTGGGGACCCAAGAGACTCCTAGTGCACTATGTGTAACTTTACAGCTATTACCTGTGGTGCTAAAAAAAACTCAAGAAATTGCTCTTTGAAAGATACAGTAGTTCACAGAACAGCTGCTTTTATGCCACAAAAAACACCTCAATGCATGTGTACACACATTTTGAGACAGGAAAAAAAGCATATTTCTCAACACAGATGTAATTGCTGTTTATGGCAAAAGACTTCCCACCCTCCACCCCTTCTGTGCATGCTCAGTTTCAAGCACATGAATTGTCCTGTAGAAGTAAATGGTGTGTGGGTGGTGTTATGTATCTGTTTACCTTTTGCGAAATTGGGCTTCCATCTTTCAGTATTTTTGAAGAAAGGTGCTTAAAGTATAACTTTCAACATAGCAGGTAAAAATTTGGAAGTTAAGAGGTTTTGACTTAAATAAGTTCAAATCTCCTATTTTGAAGAGTGCTCTGATGTTGCTTCTTAAGTTTTGATTTTATCATGCGAGACTGACTGACTCCTCGTTTTCTAGCTCATTCCTATAGAATGGCTGGGATGACCATATTTACTTGCATACTAGCGCACCTCCTCCTTCCTTCCTTCCCAATCTGCCCCACCTGCGTGCCTTAAGTAGGCAAGCTGAGTTACTGTCCAGGATGGAAGCACCCTATTTTGATTCCTTCTCCAGTTCAGCATCTGTTGCATTACTGTTCAAATGGTGAAGGTAGTCATTTGACTTAATAGCTCATTCTGCTTCACTCCAGAGGTGTTAACCTCTCTCTCTCTGTCAAAATAATAGTCTTGATGTGCTAATCAAACTAGCCCCTTTTTAGGGGGAGTTTTGCTTTCTGCTAGCTGCTTCTGGTCTCTCTTCTTCTCTTTTACAGCTTTGGAGACTAGCTCTTTTTCAGAATCTCAAATCCATACAAGGAGACCAGTCTTTTGGAGCAGCTAGGTTGTAGCTTTATTTAAGCAGGAAGGGAAATGAGTCAACTGAAGATTAGGCTCTGTTCCTGCTCTGTGCAGCCATAACTCTTGAAAAAAATCTTTTCTCTTCATTCTGCTTTTCCAAGACAAGGTGCATATTCTGTTTTGGGGTATACAGTACTGCATTTTCTCATGTACTACATATTTACATTTGAATACTTTTTCTTAACTTAATTGTCTTGCCCCCCTTTGCACCAGAGGCGTGATGTCCTTGTGTGTAAATATTGTGTACTGTATATGTGGTTTAAGTGTTGAAAAGAATGTCAAGGCTTTCATAGCTTGGTTGCGGTTTGTTTCGGAAATTTTACAAAGTTGGCTTTGGAGCCTAATCAATCATATTTTCACAGAAATAACGATACAAATGGTTTTCCCCTGGTTTAGGGTTGTCAGGAATGGGTAGTTGAAATAGAAACCTAAATGTATTTTATGAGACGAGATTTAGGCGACAGGATATGTAGGGGGGTTTGTTATCAAGCTGTAGGATATTAAATGCTTAAGACTTAAATAGAGAAGTGCATTGTGTATTTGGGGAAGTTCTTAAAATATTTTTACCTGTCTAGTAATATTGTGTGTGACCTCTTTTGCATAGGTGTAAACTGTTCTACAAAAAAAATAATGAATTTAAAGAAAAGGGCATAGGAACGCTGCACTTGAAGCCTGCAGGAAACGAGAAAACTCAGCTGTTAGTGCGAGCAGATACTAATTTAGGTATGTAATTTCCTTCTGAGTCTGGGTTATCACTTTAAACTTCACTGAAGAGCATTGTGACTTTTCTGATGGGTCCAGTGCTGTCAGTCATTGGCAGCTCTCATGAACTAATAGTATTCCTTGCATGTTTGTAAACACCAAAGACAAGTAGTGCAGTTTTAATGTGTGATCTTAACAGTTCTGTATATGATGGCATTCAGAGGAGCTTTGGCAAGTGCTTTTCACTCCAGGCTTCTGGTTATTTTAGTATAAATCTGGCATATAGCCTTGAAAATGTGCCAAATATTGTTGCAGACGAAATGTAAGGTTACAAAACTCTGAATGTCAGCTTACATCTGGTAAGCCTTTCTGTTTATGCACTTTTTTTTATTACATCTTTAAGGTAGGTGAATGCAGTCAACTGATAAAAGAATTAAAGGGGTAGCTAGCTTTGGAAAATTCTAAAGGTTCAGTATTGAAACAGAATATGATACTCAGTCTAAAACAATTTAAATAAATAGTTTTCAAACGTTTTTCATTTGTGGACCCAAAATATTTTGAATGGAGGTGTGGATCCCTTTGAATTGTAAGTGTGAGTATTCGCATACTTTTGATTAATCATAGTTCTCTTTCATGGACCCTTTAGACAGACCCCCACAGGTTGAAAACCACTGATTTAGAGCAATAAACACCAAATTAGATGCATCCTGTGCAAGCCAGTAATGCACATAAAAATTGTAGCAGTGCGAATTTAGCTTCCATAAATGACAGAATAAAGGATTTATTCCTTTGGGTATAGCAATGGGATGGGATGTTATACTAAACGTCACCTCCATTGCAGCCTTCAGTACTTACAGTATGTGAAGATTGAGTTCGTTTGGTGATTGTACAAGCAACATTCACTCTTCTTAGAGGTGCACTGATTTTAAGGAAAATTGACAGTATCAGCAATCGGCTTTTTGGGCTGATGTGGCTGATAAATGCCCCGGGCACTCATGCAGCCGCAACATGGCACACATGCAGCCACAGCACTGCTTGGCAGCCTGGAGAGCATCCAGGTCCAGCTGGTCTGGTAAGTCTGTTGTCAGGGAAGGGGGGGGCAGGCAGGCAGGCAGGCACTACATAGCTCAGGCAGGGAGCTGGATGGAGCTACGGCATATGCAGGGGGCATGGGGAAGGGGTGGCAGCTCCCATCACTGCATGCAGCCTGAAAGGGCATGGGGGGGCATGCCCCTGAATCTGCACATGGGGCAAGGGTATCTGCTTCTGTGGGCTGGGACCAGGGGGCTGTGCCAGTGGGGGCTAGGCTGGGGCTGTGCTCAGGGCAGGCGGTGGCATTGGGAGTGGAGGTGGGGGGCTACAGCAAATTTTGGGGTGGCTGCAGTCCCACCCCTGCCATAGCTGCCTCCTAGCGCTGCCACCGCCCACCCCAAGTGCAGCCCAGTCCAGCCCAGCACCTGGCTGGGAAGAGCCCAGCACTGCCTTTGCCCCACATGCCAATCCGGGGACACACAGCCCCCCTGCCCTCCTGTGGTGCATGCAGCCACGGGAGCCACCACCACCACCCCGCACTCCCTGGAAAGCCATTGCTCTGTCCTGCTTCCTGCCCTGGCTGTGCAGTGCCTGCCCATGCCCTAGCCCCACTCCCTCACCACTTGGGCCTGAATTCTCCTTCCCCCCCCCCCCCCCCCCCCCCCTCCCCTCTCT